GCGCTCGGCCCAGTCGCGCAGAGAGAGGCCGCGCCGAGCGAGCGCCGCCGCCCGCCACCCGCACGGTAAGAGCCGCTGGCCGGGCCCTGCCGCCCGCCCGGGCCGGGCCTCCCCCTGCCCGCACAGGCCGCGGCGCAGGCCGCGAGGAGGCCGCAGCTAGGCCGCGCCAGGGCTCCGCCACAGGAGCGGGCCGCGGGCTCTGCGCCGGCGGGTCTTGCAAGCCCAACGCGGCCCGGGGCGGCGGGGGAGGCGGCGTGAGGAACGCGGAGCGGAGGTGGGTGGCCGCGGGCCTGGGGGGAGGCGAGTGGGGCCGGTGAGGGGCCGCGGGCCCGGCCGGGGGGGGCTCGGAGGTGTCTGGAGGAGGAGACAAAATGGCGGCGCGCGGGGGGGGCGGAGGGCGCCGGCGCCATCTTGAATTAATCGCTTGCACAGCCGGGGCCCCGCGCGGGCCGGGCCGGGCGGGGCGGGGGAGCCTCGGGGCTCCGGCAGGGACCGCCCGCAGCCTCCACACCCTCCCCGCCTCCCGCTGCCACACTGCCAGGCGCAGCCGAGCGAGGCGCGTTCCGGCCCGCCGCCGCTCCCTGCGCGGCCCCGTCCCGTCCTGCCCCGCCATCTCCTTCCTCTTCTCCGGCCGGGGATTSGGGCAGCGCCGGGAGCTCTCCCGCAGCCGCCTTCCCCCCCTCGCCCCGTGAGCAGCTCCCTAATTCCCTGGGGGCCCTCTTGGTGCTGGCTCAAAGGTGCGCCTGGGATCGGTCACTTCCCTAATTTAGGTTTCGTTAAGAATAGCTTATTTGCTTTAGAATTACTGTCGTCTGGCGCACAGTATTCCTTTGAAATCTGGATAAAACCCATTGCTTTAACCGGTTTCTGCAAATACCCCACCACTGAACTACAACAAAGAAGGCAATGACTTAAGGGGGTTTTTCTACGGAATAGCAGTGAAAACAGCAGCACCGATTCTCCTGCCAAACCTGAGGCAGATGGATCAAGAAATAAGCAGCCGAATGATCACATTGTTACATTTGTAACATCGTTTTTATTCTATTTAACCACGTAGTAATAACGGGGGTGGGGAGGGTTGTTTCAAGGCAGGAATTCAATCCTATAGGAGTGTAGTTTTTTTTTGTTTTTTTTCTTTTTTGCCCTTCAAGTGTGTGCGAGCGAGAGCAGTGTGTGTGTGTGTGTGTGTGCACTCAAGTGGGTCACATCAGGAGAGTTGTGACACTGCAGCAGTGGCGTGGACTGAGCCCAGAGCTGCCTCAGGAGCACTCGGTGGCTCGGGGCTCTGACCCAATTGGGACATGCCAGCGTGCCGCAATTTTTAATGGGATGTAGCAAGGCACCACGGGAACATGGTTGTGGCTGTACACTTAAGTCATCCCAGCACTTGCACGAGGGGAATTTTGCTGTTTTATGCCTTGATTTGTCAGAGTTTTTCACTGCCTGGATGTTTGGTTTACGGCCTTGCCGCAAATTAGGAGTAGGCAAAGGACAATGTCATGTGTTTCTTCTTCACAAGGATGGCTTTTCAGGAGTTTGCCCTTTTTCTCCTTGTCCTTTTCCCCCATTTTCTTTTTTTGTTCTTTTTCTGGTGAGAGAAGAGAAACTGAGAGTTTCTGTGGAATATTAAACCTCTTTTGAAGAACTCTATTTTTAAAGTTGCTCCTTCTTTAAAAAGTGACAGCTTGTCTATTTCTTTTTATTCCATCTTGATTACCTTGCTAGGTCTCTTGAGTCCAGGATATGTAATGTGGCAGGATTAGTGCACTGTCTGCATTRCTTCTCCTAACTGATTGTTCTCACAATAATTTTTATTTTTGGAGATTATTGCTAATACAGTAATATCATTTTTCCATTAATATATAGTTTTCCATCTGTCCTTCCACTCAAAAATGTTACCTTGACTTCCATAAAGCCAAAACCAGCCAAGTCTCTGAGTAAATAGGTAAAATTCAGTTTGTAAAAACTAACTATATGAACTGAATTAAGTGTATTATAGAATTGTATTAATTCTCAATCCATGTGAAGCTGGCATGGACCCAAGCCAAGTAAAAGGTGTAGATGTTTAGTTCTTTTCAGCAGTATAAAAACCTCAAGTCTGGGTTCCTCAGCTTTTTTTTTGTCACAGTGGTTAGAGAAGTGTTTCCACAATTCCTGAGATTTGAACAAGGAGACACACAGCTGAGAAGAGCTAAGTGTAGGGACATGGCTGGGCACCTGCTTTTCTTTGARAGTTTGGGTTCACACACCAGAACTGAAAAATTAATTCTGTTGGCTACAATGCCAGAACTGGGTCCTGAGGTAAATCTCAGCTAGACTGAGAGRAGTTTCTGTCCTTCTTGAAATATTGCAGGAAGGTGAACTGCTGGAATTGCTTCCCAGCCTTTATGGTACCACAGAGCTTGGGGTGCTTGCCAAGGAATTGAAGATGTTCAYTGTGGTGCTTGCAAGAAGCAGCTCTGGTATTTCTCGTACCATGAAGCTGCTGTTGGTACTGAACTCTCTGGTGTTCCTTCCTTTGTGTGGCTGCATCTTGTACCCCTGTGCTCACCCTCTGCTCAGAAGAGCAAGCAGGAGGAAACTGTTTTCTCATCTGGTTAGAATGCTGAAACCTCAAAATTATTTCAGGAATCTTGTAWTTTTTTACCTCAGCTACAGACAAATTACTTTATGCCTTTTTGCTTGGCAGATTCKGATTTGGACACCTTTATTATTTTAAATAGTTCAGTTAATTCCTGTTTTAAGTATCTGCATCCTCTTTTTGTCCTCTTCCTGCAGCAAATTTCTGTGGATGTGGGGCCTTTGCCCTTGCAGAGCACTTTTAAACTCCTTATGGTGCTACGTAGGGATARGAACTGGTGTACAGTGATGTGTTGGCTGGGTCTGGGTGCAAAAGCACATTATGAGGAACATTATTTAGTGAGAAATTCATTGAGTGAAAACATKGAAGTTTCTTTCTACTCTGGAACAAGCACCAAAGCAAATGTTGGTTGCCTTTTTAAGACTCAGAMTTGAAACCCATATGCCCAGGAAGTGTCTGGTTTGTGTGGAGACCGAGCTTTTGTTCTGAGCACGTTGTGCCAGTGAAGGTGAGAAAACCTGGCTAGAACAGAAGAGGTCAGAGTGATGCAGTCTGCAGATGGAGGGTGTGCTAGGCTGTCATTGCTGTGAAATTGCACCTCCTAAACCCCACAGAGACATTTTGGGTTTAGCAACTGTTGCCTGGAATCCAGGCATCAACAAGAATAACAGGGAAGAGATGGTGTCAGTGGGCACTTACAGGAAGCTGGGATGTAAGTTAGAGACCTCTGCATCTCATGGGTGAAGAGAATGGAAGGGCAATTGAAGGGGTGCCTCACTTACAGAGGAATTTAGGGAGAGGAGAGGATAGAGAAAGTACAGGCATGAATCATAAGAAGTTGGCATTTGTGGTGAAATGATGGTCAGGTGGGTGGTGAAAGCAGGAAGCAAGTAAACGAATGCCAGTTCTTCCAGTAGCTAGTGGTGAACTGACACTTCAGGCTGGTCAGGTCGCTGCAGATCGAAGACTGATGTGTATGGTAATAGTCTCAAAAGCACAGGCAAAAGGGCATCTGAACTTTTCCCTGAGAGCTGGACAGAGAGTTCCGTCATCTTGTGTGTATATTGTTCGAGGAAAGAGGCAATTTTATTTCTGCCAACCCTTAGTCTCCCTTTGCCTCCTGTCAAAAAGGAAAAAATCACCTTATAACTGATACAGTCTTTGCTACAAATTGATGAGTAGCAGAGGTTTGTGTGAATGATGGGAGTGYACTGTAGTTAGAAGCTGGAGGGATGAAATGAGCAGGTGAGGTAATGAACGTAAGATTGGTGTAGGCATGCCAAAAGTTGGGAAAAGAAGCAACAGAAGAGAAGAAACTGAACAGTGAAAGCAACACAAAAAATATGACAAGATGAATAGGAAGGGCATTCATAGTAGACTGACTGGGTGTATGCTGAATAGATGGAAGGAAAGCAATTTGGGTGTGAATAATTCTTGCTTGAAATACTGTATGGGATTTTATTATTGTGTTCTTGTTTCTTGTGGCATGGCAGAAGTTGATTGCCATCAGTCAAGCTGTTTCTCACATCTGAGGCTGAGAAGCACTTTTCTTTTGCTCTTGGTTCTGAAAAAAAGCTTTGGGTGAAGAGCTGTTGGTCTTAATAGTGGGCACGTCTGATGGAAGTACTTGACAGTGCTTGAATAATTGGGAGATGATTTATGTCCACTTGYACACTCCAATGACTTGTTAGCATAGCTGTCTTTAAAATGCAAAGTTCTTCGAGYTGAGCATTACACAAATACAGAACACCTTGGAAAATTATTAGTGTGCCACTGTTTTTGTTMYAGTTCAATGTCTGGCTATATTTCTCCCTCAACTTCTGTAAGGGACAAGGCCCAAGTGACTGCACTGGAGTCTGGACAACGCCCCAAGGGAGAATTCCAGAGGTGAAGAGTTGAGAAAATTTGAGCTAAAAAGTGGGGCAAGTTTAGAAAAYACTTGTTCTAGATTGTGGGTTTGGATTTGTATTTTGGACTAGTTAATTTYTTCTTTCGTGTATCAATTTCCCTGATAAAAAATTAATGAATGTAGATGTTAGCTGATGTAATTTAGAAAGGGTAGGATTCTTATGGAAACCTTGGGTAAAATCTCGATGTTTTGTCTGTCTTTTGTAAAAGTATCACAGAATTGGGGAGATTTCTGCTTGTCACTGTGAGAAATGTTAGAAGGAAAAAAAAATAACATCTTCTACAGAATCACAAGCAGAAACATGAAGCAACATTCTGTTGCCTCTTGCTCATTCTGCACTTAGGAAAGTAGTTGGACTTAAGTGCAGGGGAGTAGTACAAGTTTATGTTAGACTGCATTATACCTAATAGGTTTGCCTGATCCTAAGTGTAATGCACATAATTTAGTTTGCAGCAGAATTTAGGTAACAGTGTCTTATCWTTGCAAGTATTTTAACTTCATAGTCTTATTAGGTTCTTTTGAAAGAAGAGTGAAATTTTAATTGAAGAAATGAACGTTGAAGAAATGTTGACATTCTTTTCAATAATTTTGGTAGAACATAGTATTTGGTAATTTTTGAGAACTGACTTGTAATACTTATGGAACTTTGTCTTGGGGCAAGAGTTTTGAAAACATTCACAAATCTAGGTTTGAAAACATAGGATGTTATGCTCTGGAAGCAGTTTACATTGATGATTTGAGATCCTGGAGTGACATAAGGATGGACTTCTTCTAATAGCCCACGTATGAACATCAGGACATCAGAACTGGTGTGCATTTCAGCTAATGATCTCTGTATGTTTAACTTACCTTATTGAGCCTTAATGATTTGACTGACATTCTGTATTCCTCACCATCCAGTAGGTCTTGAGTGTGAACTTGTCTAGGCTTTATTTGAATTTTTTTTTTTTAAATATTATAAGGAAATCATATTTTCACATTCCTTTATGAGCAGCTTCTGTGTTTGTGAAGCCGTAGGGTTTTGAGAAATGGACCCAGAGTGTTGGACTTCACACTCCTCTTGTTCAGACCCTGGGTGTTTGGTCATCCACAGTAGTGTTGCTGGAATCCCAGACTGAGGGATCCTGAGTGAAATCTGGTTGATCTTAGTCCTGAGGTATTCTGTGTTAACTGCCATGCACCCAAAATTTCAGTTTTTTAGTGCATAGGCAGAGGCAACCTTCTTCACCTAATACAAGTGAAATAACCTKTCTTCTTTACCTTCTGCAGACACTGTGACTGATGAGAGTTAAAGGCCATGGATGAAGATGGGCTTGAATTGCAGCCACACGAGCCAAATGCATTTTTTGATCCAACAGGTCTGTAAGGAGATAATAYATAGATAAGAGTTCACTTTAGATGCAATTGACTGATGTTATTCTGCCTTTGCTTAGAAGTGCTGTGCTGCATCAATGCTATTGTTTAGAGTAGTCGCTTTTGAATTTGGGTTGTTTTTATTACTCAGAGCAATATGAATGAGCYACTGTGCTTTCAGTCAAGTAATAGTTGTTTGGCTATTGGGGGAGAGTCTAAAAACTGCAAATCTTTTCCAAGAAAGAAAATCTTGTTCATCTTAATTAGGTTAGCATCTACTGAGGACTTGCTTTGTCTGCCTTTCTAAATAGCTCATATGCTGTTATGCCTGTTTTACTAAACTGCAGCATGGTGTAAAAGTTGAAGTGAAACTGAAGTAATTTCAATTATTAACTACCTCATGTGAGACAGTTTCACAACTTAAGTTCTGTTTTAATTATGTTTTTCAGGAGCTGATGCAACACATATGGATGGAGATCAGATTGTTGTGGAAGTACAGGAAACAGTATTTGTTTCAGATGTAGTCGACTCAGATATAACCGTGCATAATTTTGTTCCTGATGATCCAGACTCCGTAGTAATCCAGGATGTCATTGAGGATGTTGTTATCGAGGATGTTCAGTGTCCAGATATCATGGAGGAGCCAGATGTGTCTGAAACAGTCATTATTCCTGAACAAGTGCTGGACGCAGACGTAGCCGAAGAGGTTTCTTTGGCTCATTGCACTGTCCCAGATGATGTTTTAGCTTCTGACATAACAGCAGAGACAATGTCTATTCCAGAGCATGTACTGACAAGTGAGTCAATGCATGTACCTGAAGTTGGACACGTTGAGCATGTGGTTCATGATAACGTTGAAGAAGCAGATATTGTCACTGATACTCTGGGAACAGATGTTGTTTCTGAGGAAGTCTTGGTGGCAGACTGTGCATCAGAGGCAGTGATCGATGCCAATGGAATCCCTGTGGAACACCAAGAAGAGAAGGGCAACTGTGATGATTACCTTATGATTTCCTGTAAGTGTTTGGGTAAAAGCCGTCAAAATCCTTATGATAAGGGCTTGAAATATCAGAGGGAGGGTTTAAGACAGTATCCAAAACAGAGTTTCTGTATTTTTTTATTGAAATGCAGATCTTACAAATGTACTAACATGGAGGGATTTTTAGGAACGTGTACTAGCTAAAAGTTGTGGTGAAACTAATGGGGAGAAATACTGACCAATGCACGTCTGATTATAAATTATTTCTGTTGCAATTTATAGCATATGAACAAAAGAGTAAGAATTAYGGTAAATCAAATGCCATATACTTAATGAGAACTAAAAGAAAATTGATGTGACAATGTTTAAAAATGCTTATATGTGCAAGAGGCTACTAAGGTGACTGCCAAGACATTAAGGAAACAAAACTATTTCATGGCAAAGAAAGAGTAAAAAACCATGGTTTCTGAAAATCCAATCTTTGTCTTGTGTTTTTGCTAAGCCGTCGCCTCTTGCATCCCATTTATTGTTGGATACAGACAGYGATGTGGTTTTCTTTGCTGTTAGGATGTGTTTTCTTCTCTTGATTAAGYAAAGAACAGAGGTATGCAGCTAATAAAAAGAGTAGCTATTGCTGCTCATAGCTTGGAAGTGAATGTCTTAATCTCCCTTAGAAACAGTGACACAACCCATTTGAATCGTATTTCAGAAGRCTTAAATAGAGGGTGGAGAAAAGTAGAGCATATCATCAATACTTTTTCTACTGAGGAGATCCGTTTGTGTGAACTAGAGCTTACTCTGTTACTTATTATAGTGATTGCTCAGTGCAGCACCTAGGAACGTCACAGTGTCACTGCTGAACATTTATTGTAGAAATAGAAAAGCCTTGTTAGTCTGGTTTGTTTAATTGCCATTTCAGGCACTTCTGTTTTGTCTGGTGTTAAATGATTCAATT